TGAGTGTTAATGACGACCGTGGGTGTGAGATCCCTCTTGGTTTGACTTCGCTCGAGTTTTTTGCCATTTTCTGCCGCGAGGCCCAGCGTCGTTCCGTACAGAGGGATCTGGGAGACAGGTGATGGGGACGTTGGCAGGTTGTGTCCAGACGTTCTTCGGGCTGGCGATACTATTTGGACGCGTGCCAGAGTTGCTTGGTTCGGATACGTCTTGAGTGAGAAGCGTGTTCATTATGGAGCTTGGGGCACGCTCCATCACCGCCTTTGTGCTAGCCCCCACTGCGACCGCATTCGCACTGAGGCGGTGGAAGCGTCGATCTAGCGGCTCGGGACACTGAGACTGACGGGTATTCGGTCAATCTGCTCTGTCATGGGGCTTTCGCCCACCCCGCCGACCCATCTGTCCGTGCTTTGAGGATCAAGTCATTGCATGGCACAGGGATTTGTTGGAAGACCCCGACTGCCTTGAAGCCCCCGAGGACGCTCCTATCTGGGGCCACCTGTTCCTCGACGGGCTTTGCCAATGGGACATTTTAAAGAAGCTCAGCCGCGCGTCTTGGGCCATGGCCGCGCGCGACAGCAGCGGTGACCTCTTCGGGGAAGTCAGAGGCCCTGTTAGGGCTCAGTCCCCTCGGACCCCACTAGCTGGCGAATTCTTCACGCTGCTCGGTATCGTTTAACCCATCCCCATCCCCATCCCCATCCCATTTGAGACCCCCACCAAATTACCACCCAAGTTGGGGATACACCCCTTCCGTAGCCATTTTGGCTCAAGGTCGAGTCCAGCCTTTTGCGCTCATCACCAGACCCACCCCCCACCCAGCGCTGCATCATCAGTTTCTCTTCGAGATGGCGTCTCGCCCGGCTCTTCCCGGCAACAAGAGCCTGAAGGAGGCGGATCCCACCATGGCGGCGCTCATCGAGGAGGAGAAACAGCGGCAGATCAATTCGATCGAGCTGATCGCGTCGGAGAATTTTACGTCCAGGGCGTGCATGGAGGCGCTCGGATCCGCGCTCACCAACAAGTATTCCGAGGGCCAGCCTGGGGCGCGCTACTACGGAGGCAACGAGGTCATCGACAAGATCGAGAACCTGTGCAAGGACCGCGCTCTTCAGGCGTTCAGCCTTGACGCGAAGAAGTGGGGCGTCAACGTGCAACCCTACTCCGGCAGCCCGGCTAACTTCGCCGTCTACACGGCATTGTTGCCGCCGCACGCGCGCGTCATGGGCTTGGATCTTCCCAGCGGTGGCCATCTGACCCACGGCTACTACACTGCGAAAAAGAAGATCTCGGCGACATCGATCTACTTCGAGTCTTTGCCGTACAAGGTGCACCACGAGACTGGTCTGATTGATTTCGACGAGCTTCGCAAGACAGCACTTGTCTTCCGACCCGCCATGATCTTGTGCGGAGCCTCGGCCTACCCGCGCGTGGTCGATTTCGCCAAGTTCCGCGAGATCGCCGACGAGGTCGGAGCGCTCTTGATGGCAGACATCGCGCACATCTCTGGCCTCGTTGCCACAGGACAGCACCCAGCGCCCTTTGAGCATTGTGACGTGGTGACCACCACCACCCACAAGTCGCTCCGAGGCCCTCGCGCAGGCATGATTTTCTTCAAGTACTCGGACGCCATCCCCGACATCAAGGAGCGCATCGACATGGCCGTCTTCCCTGGCCTGCAGGGGGGACCCCACAACCACCAGATCGGCGCACTCGCGGCGCAGCTGCTGGAGGTGAACACCCCAGAGTTCAAGGAGTACTCCAAGGCCGTGGTGACCAACTCGCAGACGTTGGCCAAGACGCTCCAGGAAAAGGGCCACAAGCTCGCGAGCGACGGCACAGACAACCACCTGGTGTTGTGGGACCTCCGCCCCCATGGCCTCACGGGCTCCAAGCTCGAGAAGGTGTGCGAGGAGGCGTCCATCTCGCTCAACCGCAACGCCGTGCACGGCGACGCCTCGGCGCTCTCGCCAGGCGGCGTCCGCATCGGTACTCCCGCCATGACCACGCGTGGCTGCACCACCGACGACTTCGTGAAGATCGCGGGATTTCTGGACAGGTGCTGCCAGGTCGCCCTCAAGGTCCAGGCCGAGAAGGGCAAGAAGCTCAAGGACTTCGAGGCTGGTCTGCAGGGGAATGCTGACATCGCGGCTATCAAGAAGGACGTTCAGGCGTTCGCTTCCGCGTTCGGCTACCCCGGTCTCTGAGCAGTGATGAGGTTGCGGGTAGTTGACGACAGTCAGTCCAGATCCCAGAGGGGAGGAGCAGCTGTAATTTTTTATTCGGTCCTAGGTGTCCGTACAGCCGCTGCGGTTTCTTTTCCCCCCTGGCGTTGGCCTGCTAATCTTTCAGGGCTTCGCACCGCTATCTCATCAACTTTTGACCGTGGCGCTTGCTCGCTGTCGGAGGAAGCGATTTCATCTTGACGAATCATCTGCGGGTCGCAGTGATTCAGAAACGTTCCAGGGATCGCTCCACGCAACAAAAAAAGTTGGGGATACACCCCTCGATCCCGAAGGGGACGACCTATACCTCCATCTAGGGGGGTAAATCGACCAGTGGGGCCCAGGCCACGCCGCTGGGGATGGGGATCGGTTAAATGATACTCAGCTTCGCGCATCCCCACCACCCCATCCAGAAGCAGATCGCCCGGCGAGCTGCTTTGATCAGGGAAGTGTAGAAGAGTGCAGTGTAACAGCCGCTTTGGATGCGTTTTCTTGGAGGTCTCTTGGAGCCATCTTGAGGCTCTCTTGGGATCCCCGCGGAGCCTCTGAGGGCAGTCTTGAGGCCCCCTTGGGCTCTGTTGGGGCCCTCTTGGGGTTCGGTGGGGGGTCTGGGAGGCCTCTTGGGGGCCATCTTGGCCCCCATGATTCTAAAAGAGGGGGGGTCGGAATTTCCCCCCCCCCTCCCCCCCTCCCCCTGGGAGGTTCAAACATTGCGTCTTGAGGCTCGTTTGGGGCGCTCTTGGGGCGTTCTTGGGCTCTCTTGGGCCGTCTTGGGGCCATCTTGAGGCATCAAGAGCCCATCGGAAGCGAACAGGCAACACAGTAATGCAGCTAGGTTTTGGAGCCATGTTGGCTTCTCCTTGGGAGGGGGGGTCTTTGGAGGGCTCGGAGGGCACTTGAAACCGTCTTGGGGTCGTCTTGAGGCCTTTTAGATGTGTGTCGGAGGCTATCTTGATGCTTATTGAGCCATCTTGGAGGCCACCTTTCGCCCTCAGAGGCCCTCTTGGGTTCATCTTGGGCCATCTTGGACGCTCTAACCTCTCGTTGGGCGCCCCTTCCAGGCCCAAGGGAGGGGGTAGGAGTGTCAAGCTACCCACTCGCCCGCAACCGTCTTGCTCACTCCCACCCGCCCTCCCAACACATAAGTAACACCCGAGCCTCAGCATGTTCAGCGGTCGTCTTTGGATGGGCAACTACTGGGAACCAAGACCGAACCCATGTGCCCGACGCTGGGGCGAGGTGCGCCACGCGTGCCAGGCGCGCCACGCGCGACAGGCACCCCTGGGGCCCGAGCGTGCCAGACACGCCTGGTGCGCCAGATGTGCCACGTACTTCCGCGTGCGCCAGGCGTGCCGCATACTCCAGCCGCGCCAGGTGCGCTACGTTCGGGGCAGGTACAGAGTGTGTCAGGTGCGCCTGCGCACGTGACAGCACACATTGGGAAACATGTCGGCCCCCACCATCCATGTCGAAAGCCAATGCCCATCAATGTGTCTGGTGGGCCTGCGCACGGCAGACCATACGCCACCACTTGACAGTGATCGCGGGGCGGCCGCGCACGATCCAGATTTAGCCGCGATGCGCATGTTGTATTGTTTTTTGTCAGAGTTGGTAGCCTTGCGCGCAGCAGGCAATATGCTGACACCCCCGCGGTCCCGGATAAAACACAATACAAAGTTATCGCGGGCCTCACGATCATGACTCCAGACTTTGCCCAGAACTGTATTTTGTAGTGTTGTTTGACAGGGGTGGTGGGTGGGGCCGCATCAGGTTGGCCGCGCATGCTCCAAATGTGGAGGCACAATATGTTTTGCATTGTTTTGTTAACTGGGATGGTGGTGGGGGGGCCTCCTGGTTGCTGGTTGACCGCCGGTCGCCTGGGGAAGGGGGTGTACATTTATTGGGGACAGTGATCAATCCCTCCCCCGAGCAGGGCAAGGAGGGAGCTGTGGCAGAGAGAAGACACAGCTTGTTAAACCACCTACGCCCAGAGGCCTGGTGGGATTCCCAGCGCGTGGTTTGGCTAGCACTTGAGTTCGCTATCCGTCGGTTCTGCACAGCAATTGCCTGAACGTGGCGATGCATTCCTTGTTGACCCTTCCCGACGGGCTCTCGGGCAAACGGGTATCTTGGAAACCAGTGCCCGCGAAGGCAGCTTGGCTCAGGACACCATGGAAGTCGCTGCGCATAAGAATTTGGAGGAGGAAGTTACCTCATCCCAAGAACGTTTCTACAGGCGGTCCAATAGTGATGATGGCATAGCAGCCGAGCGCTCGTTGAACATTCATCCCTCCGATGTGGTGGGAATGGAGTCCGTGGAGGAAAGGGTTACGATCTCTCAGACAGCGTGCAAATTGGCCGCCAAGGTTTCGTTGTGCTGGCCACGGGCAGAATGCAAGAGCGCAGCTCGTGTTCCTCCTCCTCCTCCTCCTCCTCCGCAGCTTACCCCCGACAAACCAGGCCACCTCTGGGCTGAACGGTCGGGGTTTGGGAGGTACAGAGCAAACCGTTGTCAGGTTTTTGCGTTGGGCGAAGTAAGTTGGACGAAGACGTCGTCCTCAAAATTCTGGGGCGCAAAATTTGGGCTTCTCCTTAGTCCAGCGTCAGCCACTTTTTCGTTTGTCGGTTTCCACGGCACTGGCGCGCGTGCGGCTGGTCTTGTGTAGGAGTGTTGTGGCGTTCCGTCCAGGCACGCCTCCTACGCCCGGCGTGGCCTTTACAACAAGGGCTTGCGTCCGAATCCCAGGCGGCAACATGTGGTCGTGGATGTAGATTATGTTTGTGGGTTGTTTGGCTTGACTCAGCAATCTCAACGCTATAATCGCGTCCAGTCAGTTGCGTGCTGCCGAGGGGGCGGTCGACCACAGCGGAGGTGGCACGCCTGATTTGGCCGCATACGTCAGCGATGCCGAGCTTGCAACTGCCGAGGAGTTTGGCGTCTCTCTGGGGCTCGATGCCTCCATCTCATCGTGCTGTACACAGGGTTGGTGCAGCGCTGTGCCTGCGGGAGGCGCCCCCGCCTTCTCTGCCTCAGTCTGCCCACGTGACCTCCGGGCCGCTTCAAGGAATGTGGCGGGTGCCCCCCGAGAGGAGGAGGAGGAGGAGGAGGAGGAGGAGGAGGAGGAGGAGGAGAGGAGGAGGAGGAGGAGGAGGACGGAGGAGGCCGGAGGAGGGCGGAGGTCCGCTGGTGGAGCCCCGCCGCCTGGCGGACAGCAGTGATTCCGATCCGTGCGGCGGTTGAGGGGTAGGCCCCGCCTGGGTCTGCGTGGTGCGACAGGTGTCGGAAACAATGAAGCAACACTCACGCGTAACATGTGAGGTGAGCTCCCCCTTCCTCCCCCCGAATGCAATGTCGGGCTCGGATCTCCCTAGTTTGAGTGTCGGACCAGTGATGCGTATACGTGCCAACTTTGAATTGCGGGGGGAGGGGGGAGTATTAATTTTTCCCTCAACTGGACCTCACATTATCTTGGTCCATCCAGCGCCTCTTCTCGTGCTGCTCATGGTGTTGGCACAAGTGGCAGTATTGCAAAGCCTGCTGTGACTGGTGGACTGGCCGCGCAGGACCTGATCTTGGCTTGTGGCGAGGCGGCCACGATACAGGCTGCGCCTCTTCCCGGGGACGTTGGGTTGCTTGCTCGCCCGTGTCTTCTCTTCTGTTGCACGCCTCAGCAGGCGTCGCGGGTTCGGGATGAGCCATGTGTTCGCCCGCCAGCTTTGTCTTGTCTTGCGTCTGCGTCGCTGTTCTTTCGCATCAGGCTTGTGCCAGCCCCTGTCCAGGCGCAACCAGGATTATTAAGTTGGGCCTGTCCCTCTACAGGAAGAATATTCAAAAGTAGTCAACAAAATAGTCTGGGGACCATGTTTTGACTATGTTTGAGCATTTTCGGAGTTTGTTTGGGGTATCTTTTATTTTTCTTCCAAGATCCCCCTGCAGGGGGGACAGGCCCGACCTAAAACCAGGCCCCTTCGCCTGGTGTGCCTGTGGGGGGCCACCCGCCGAGGGGCTGTCCTGCTACACCCTCGGCCGCCAGCAGTAGCTGTCCCGTGCTGCAGCGGAGGGTCTCCTCCTCCCGTGGCTGCCTCCTCCCTGCTGGTCAAAGGGGGGTGCAGCATGCGCGGCTGGACTCACTGCTTAGGGGTGGTCCTTCGGCCCTGTTTCTACCTCCTGGCTGTTGCCACTCGGGCGACAGTTGGATTCCAGCACGTCGCCCTGCTGGGGAGCATTGCACGCAGCCGCCGCTGCATTGCTTTGAGGCTGTGGCACGGAGGGCGTGGAGCTTAAACTCCTCCTCTTCCTCCTCGTGATCGTCCTCGTCCTCCTCTCAATCCTCCCCCTCCTCCTCCTCCTCCTCCTCCTCCTCCTCCTCCTCCTCCTCCGCCGCCGCCGCGGCCCTCTCCTTTCTCTCCTCCCTCTCCTCCCTCTCCTCTCTCCTCCCCTCCTCTGGTGGTCTCCCTCCTGCCCTCCGAGCTCGGCCGCCCCTCCCCCCTGCCGCACTCGGCGCGGAGGTCGTGGGCCGGACGGACCGGCAGGTCAAGATACGCGGCGTCCGCGTGGAGCCCGAGGAGGTGGAGGCCGTCCTCAAGAGGCCCGCGGTCGGTCTTCCGACAAAAGGGAGGGAGGAGGCGGAGGAGGAGGAGGAAGAGCACAGTGGATGTGGTGGTGGAAGTGATGATGATGATGATGATGCTGATGCTGATGACGATGACGATGACGATAATGTTGATTATGTTGCTGATGATGCTGATGCTGATGACGATGATGATTATGATAATGATGCTGATGGTGATGAGGTGATGATGACGATGATGATGAGGATGACGATGATGAGGATGATGACGATGATGAGGATGATGAGGATGATAATGAGGATGATGGTGGTGAGGATGCTGAATCTTATAACGATGATAGTGATGATAATGATGATGATGATGATGAGGATGAGGATGAGGATGAGGATGATGAGGATGATGCTGATGATGGCCAGGATGGTGATGGTGGTGGTTATGATGATGATGATGATGATGATGATGATCATGATGATGATGATGATGACGGTGATGGTGATGGTGATGGTGATGATGATGAGGACGATGATGATGATGGTGATGATGATGATGATGAGAATGTTGATTATGCTGCTGCTACTGACGATGATGATGATGATGATGATGATGATGATGACGATGATGATGATGATGATGATGATGATGATGATGATGATGATGATGATGATGATGATGATGTTTTGGACACGTCTGCGCGGATCTCATG